GTGTGTGTGTGTGTGTGTGCGTTCCTTTTACTCCTGTAGGAAGTTAAAAACCCACCCCTCTCCTAGAAAAAATGAAATATCCTGGGAAATATTGAAAAAGGCGGAATATTATAATTTTCCTGGATCAGAAATGGAGAAATATGTTTTTAGGCAGGAAGCAGACTCGCTCTTAATAGCCCCCCCACCTTTGTCAATGGGCTATTAAAAGGTCAGTCTATTCTACATAACAAAGATCTCCTCTCCAGCTCAAGGGTGATGAGATTAACATGCATGGAAAAATTCAAAAGAGCTCCTTGTTTTTTCAACAAGCTGAATCTAATCAAAATGAATTTCAATGTAAATTCAAAATAAGGCAATTTCTGCTAAGTGAGCATTAAGCAAAACCATCCTTTGGAAAAAAATATATGCAAACTTGGTTTGGTTTAAATTGCGGGGTTTATTTTCACCCCGTGGCCAAAGAGCTTAATATGTGACAGGAGGATAACTAAGGGTAAATAACCCAAAGGATTTGGATTTAATGCCCAGATTTAACCCTCTTAAAAAGTATCTTTGCAATCAAACGGCCTTCTCTGCCCTCTCAGCCTCCAAGAAAACGAGCCGGAGGGAAAGAGCACCTTGGCAAGGCAAGGCCTCTCTAGCACAGAACTCACTGCCCCGGCAGCGGCAGCCCAGCGGAAGCCTCCAAACCTCGATTGGCTGCTAAGGCCCGGCCACGCCCACTCCCGCTCGCGCCGCCAATGGGAACGGGAGCTGATCAAGAGTTGCCCGGCCTTTTCCGGCCTGAAGGCCGATATGAGGGCAGGACGGGTCTGAGGGGCGGCCAGCGTTAACATTAGTAATAGTTTACAATCGTAATACTTTATTTCATTTAATAAATAACATTTTTTAACATTTTTGAATAAGCGAATAAATAGAGCGGAAGTCTACATATATTAAAGCAGCTACGGCCGAGTCAACATTGAACGAGGCCTAAAGAAGCTGGAAGCCGCCTCCTCAAAGAGAGGGGGGCGTGGCCTATAGGGGAGGCGTGCCCTGTGGGGAGGGGCGTCGCCTCAGCCGCAAGGCGGGGCTCTTAGCAACGGCGGCAGCCCGAGCCCCGCCGTCGACGCTCCTTCCGCTTCCGTTTTTCAGCGCGGGTTGACGTCAGTGCGCCTGCCGGCCTGCGCGTGACGTCAGATCCCGGGCGAGGCGGGCGGGGCCGGGCGGAACGGCGGAGCCGCTGAGGTAACGGGAGGCGAGGCGGGCGAGGCAAGGCGGGAGGCCTCAAAAAAACCGAGGCGGTGGCTCTCCGCTCGCTCCCTTCCCCTTCCCCCGCCTCGGCCTAGGCGGAGGGCTAGTGTGGGGGGGTGTCCCATGCCAGTTGCGCCCCCCCCTCTTAGCCTCGTGGGGGGAGAAAGAGGGGCGGTTGGGGGCGGGGGGGAGGGGG